TACGCCTTGCTCGAGCAGAAGCTGATCAGTGCCGTCAGCTGACGGCGTCAGGTGGCCGATGTTATGTTCGCAAAGTTTCCTACAGTCACCTGGGCGGGCAGCCTGGTCAAGAATTCCAACCCGCTGCAGAAGCATAACACGGATATCAAAGCCGAGAAGGTATGGATGGATCACGGTAGAGGAGTCTCAGAGAGGGTCCCAGGTAATGTGCACTCTTTTCGAATAAACTCGTGCGACATCCTGGTTGGATTGTTCTATGCTAACACTATTACTTTCAGACCTTCATGATCGTAAACGAGTACGCATGTGAAGTAATTGGCTTCAGTGAGAGTTCCTTGAGGACATCGGGCAGGACGAACCTATCCGATAGGCTCAATTAACTAAGCTAATTTAGCTTATTAACTTAGTTTCTTACCTAACTGTTTTGAGTTGATGAGTCTGATACAGAATTTAAGTCACCGATTCGCAAACATGTAGCATTTAGCGATATCAAACCAACACATAGTGTACTATCCTGTGAACTGGGGTGGTTTGTCCTAGTCACTGAACTTCAGCGCTACTTTCATTCGAGATGCAATAATTCAAATGTTCTGTTGGCAATCAGCGGTTTTCGGTCTGACCGAATCGGTCACCGAAGTTCAGTGTATTATTCCTCGATTGGATGTTCGGCCTTGTATATAATATGTATAAGTTATGGACTCGTCAATGACGAGTCATCATTGTCTGTCCTGAAAAACTGACAGTCGCCCTCCATTTTCACCCAAAACCCTGTAAAATCACCAATCCATGGCGCGCGCTTTGGTGCCCTCAATTTTCTGCTATGGCCCTGGCAATTCCCTCCCTGCCCTCGAAGTTCCAGATTGCCCTGTAAATTCCGCCATTCGGGCGAGCGATTTACGGTGCCCTGTAAACCACGCTTCTGCCCTGGAAAAACGTAATCACCCCGTCATAGAACATTCAAGTTCGTCTAAGGTCGATAGGAAGTTCAAACTTGTGTAAATAGAACTTCCAATTTCGACTTTCGAACCTCCGGATTCGTCATAGAACTTCCAATTTCGTCGAGTACACCTTCAGACCTTCAATTTCGTCCCTTTGGGAAAATCGATTTCGTTGTACTTCATTTCGACAATCGTATTTTCGACTAGCGGTTGTCGAAGTCGAAATCGTCAAGATCAGTGCCGATAATGGGCCTGTTTCATAAGGATACTTAATTTAAGGCGCCTTAAATATAGAAGCAACTTAAGGAGTTACTTGAGTTTAAGGCGCAATTTGCTCCTATGAAACAGGCCCAATTTGAAATATAAGGAATTCGATAGTCTTTGCTGCGAAGCTGCCGTAATCGACACGTAATTGGTTTGTCGAAATCAAAGGTAGCGCACGCCGCCCGGTAGTCAGATTTGACACAACATGTTGTCGTATTTCGTTAGGAGGTTGGGGAACTATTTCATATCCCACTCGGAGATGAACGATGAAAGGAACATATAGTCATAATCACGTAGTCTAGTAGTAGAGCAATCTTAAGAATGGTAGGAGTGCTTTCTTTATTAAATCTTGGAATGCTTATGGGGCCGCTGGAGTAGTGATGAATCCAACTATTCGCGAGAAGTCCAACATTGCTTCAGTTAAGAAGTACAATCAGTTAGCGTATGTTCAAGGCTCTGATGTTGGAAGAGTCAAGGTTAAGAAAATGCCGATGCCACTACCGCTGAACGGCCTACAGCTGAACGTAGTTAGCCTAGTCGTAAGCGTCAGAGGTAGTTATTATCCTTTTTGAGTAGAATAGAATAGGATGAAAAACGCACAAGAATCTGCATAACACCAAGTGATGAAAGCCTTAAAGCTTCTAGTGAAGACTGAGCTACGGTGGGCGATCGAGGTATGCCCATATTAGTAAGGAGAGGTAATTGCAGGGTGTATGTACGAAGTGCTTCAACCGGAAGAGGACTGTATGGTCGTGGGTGGGGTGACGCGATATATTCGAATTATAATGGCGGCGTATATTTCTACACGAGGTTTTAGTAGACTGGATGATGTGCTCTACTCTATGCCGCCGACTGAGAAGTCTTATTGGAAGCCCATGTTGTTACAGTAGTGAATTACGTTGGAGATAGAGTCGTGCAGAGGGGGCAGTGTTCATCAGCCTGATGAAGTGTTGAGTTAGAAGTATACAGCGGCGGTGTGGATCATTCGTATTATGGAGAATCTCCTTTGGGGTGTTTGTTGTTGGTGGTGTGCGATAAACGTCTATGGTCTGGATGCCCCTATCTGTGAGATACCTTTTCCTTCTCTAACTCTGTATGGACTTCGTCACATCAGCATTGGAGGTTATTGGAGTCAATTTACATAAAGACGAGAGGTACTAGCAGGAGTAGTAGTAGTAGTAGTAGTAGTAGTAGTAGTGGTAGTAGTAGTGGTGGTGGTAGCTTCTTATAAGGGAGTGCTGTCTAACAACAATGTAAGGATGTAGACGTTCTACCTTGTGTGAAGATTCTAGAGAGAGTTACCTAAGTGAATGCAAATATGAGCAGTTGTGGTATTAGTGTTGGATGTATTATTCTCCATCGTATTGCACATGGTTTTACTATAATTAACCTGATGCTTTTTCTTCGCTGTGCGCATCTCGTTATTTAATTATTACAGTGATATCTTTCAGAGAAGGTAGATGGAAGTTCGACATTGATCCACTGCGACTCAGCGGTACAGTGGCTGGCTTCGGTCTGGCATATGTAGTGATGAACCGCTTGGAGGGTCATCGGACGGCGACTCCAGCGGTCACTATTACAGAAGTTTCTGAGGTGTGTATACATGCAAAGCGAGGGTAGTTACGCAAGGTGTGGTATTAGGTGCCATTCTCGAGTTTTTGGAAGCAGTTGAAGGATTCACAGGTCGACGAGATAGCGTTTATACCATCACTGTAAGCTGAGGGAGTGTCGGACATTTTCGAATAGTCATGTGTTCGATCAGGGACGGTACGATGCCGCCCATGTTGCGATACCGCACAGGCAATGGGGAGGCGAATCAGGAGGCGACGACGTTAACATTGCCGGGATGCAGCGAAATGGTTGCTGATGAGGCGATGAAGAGGGGCATTCGATGTTACACGAGTACGGAGGCTGAGGCATCAGTAATGGGGTGTGGTTTTTGTGGCGCGTGATGTTATTATTGTCAGTTGGCGATGCTCCAGATGATGGCCGATTTAGTGGGTTGGACGGCGTCATTGGCGGGGTTTCTGATATTATATCGGATGTACTCCGGAGATGGAGTGAATGGACCTTTTGGTGCTAAGAAGGGTAGTAACCTGATTAATAGTGGGATGTCTTTGTCAGTAGTTTTGTATATTTCGTGTAGCTCAGTTGGTAGAGCACGTCGCTCTCTACCTCATGACCGTGGGTTCGAACCTCGCTATTGATGTTTTAGCATTTTGCAACGGCCATTTGAATGCGTTTGTGTGATTTTGTCCCCCAGTCCATTCCAACCTTGCGCGATGTTTTTCACACCCGAATCCATCACTCCTATCGTGAACTGCTGTGAGTTGTCACGCTCAACATAGAGTCGTTAACCTCATTCGAACTCTCCGTCTCTTCTTCCGACGAGTTGTGGTTATCGCCGTTTGCTCCGCCTAGACAAACCAACTATTGATGATACAAATTGTATCATCAATAGTTGGTTTGTATGCATCACACAATGCGTACACTATGACCGAGGCATACGAGGTTAGTCATGAAATTTAATGTGGCATGACGCATCGATTGGACTGAACCGTTTTCAGCGACTTTGCAGTAGTGAGCTCCTAAGAACGATAGGCCAAAAAAGCTTAAGTCGGAGTTGCACAATAATAGGGACAGCGATGCAGCTAGCCGTCCCTTACTTCCTCACTCTTCCTTTCCGTAGCTCCAACGGCCAACGCCTCCTCTACTAAGAATGTGACCAAGTTCGCTGATGTGGCCGGCCATGAGCAGACTAAAGTCGAACTGAGGGAGATTGTTCAGTATCTGCGGGATCCCGTGTCATTTTCGTAAGCCTTCGTTGTTCGAGTGGAGTTCCCTTTGTCTGTCTCTCTATTGATTCTTCACTGAGTGGTTATGATTTCAGCTCGCTTGGGGCGCGCCCTCCTCTTGGTGTCCTGTTGGAAGGGCCAAGTGGCGTTGGAAAGACGCTCCTGGGCCGAGCAACTGCCGGTGAGGCGAAGTAAGGGGTATTGTCAGCATGCGAGTTGGTGAGGGAGTGGTATGAAATGGTCAGCGATATTCCTTTCCTCTACGCGAGTGGGTCGGAGTTTGTTGAAGTGTATGTTGGCCAAGGAGCCAAACGCGTCAGGGAGGTGTTCGCTCAGGTGAGAATTTCGTGGCGCGCGGTCATCACCTTCGAGATTCACCTTCGTCATTTTCTACTACTCTTTAGGCCCGGGCTGTATCTCCATGCATATTATTCATCGACGAGTTGGACGCCATTGGAAGTCGAAGTGGGGTGGCTGCCTTCCATGATGCTATTTTACGATTTTTCTATCAGATTTTAGAGGTGGTGACGGCCAAGAGTACACTCAGACGATCAACCAACTGCTGATCGAAATGGTAACATTCCCTGCCTTGCGACGTATTCGCTCATCAATCTTCGTGGATTTCAATTATACTACTTCGAAATTTAACTGATGGAAATTATACCATGTGTTTAGTAGTAGCTGACTGATTTGAAAATCGATCGGAATTGATTTTCACTGGCCAAACGAGTTGTATATGCAACTCTGAGTACCACAAATGATCAACAGGAGCCTTACAGTGTTGTTACGCTTACATTGAACAGATATATTCATAATATACGAGTATTTGTAATATGGATGACAATCGAATTCATCAACGCCCGCATCTTTATATGTCTGAGAACTTGATTGGTATCTTTTGTGTTGGACCTTTGGATATCTCTTAGGATGGTATATCAGATCGTGATGGTGTTGTGGTTATGGCGGCTACTAATCGTTTTGATGGTTTGGACTCCTCCCTCACCCGACCCGGCCGGTAAGCAGAAGAGATGGTTGCTCACTCCTCTATAGTAGTTGTATTATTAGGTTTGATCGATGTATTCACGTGTCACTACCTGATGCAATAGCGAGAGAGAGGTGCTTTGTGATCCACGGGAGAAGGTTGAAGTTAGCCACCAATGTTGATAATGAGGCATTAGCTGCAGCAACAGAGGGGATGACTGGTGCTGATATTGAGCATGTACAGAGTTGGGCCTGTTTTGCATCTTGTATGTTTGGACCTTAGATACTAAACCAAGCTGCCTTGGTGGCTGCACGCAATAAGGAGACCTGCGTCTCGCAGGAACGTATACTGGAAGCATCCGATAAATTACGAGCGGAGCGAAGCGAAAGAAATAAGCGACAACAACAGAAGGTCGATGAAGATCGACATGCAGAGGTAAGATTCTCGTCAACCTCTTTCGTGTGCATGCGTGCTGGCCTCAAGATACCCTTTGATCGCTGGGCAGCTCAAACGCTGATCAATTTGGCGAATAATACTCAACGAGATTCTCCTGAAGTTGACTAGAGCCAAAAGATACTGAAAAAACTTTCACGCGCCATGAAATTATTCTGTGTTTTTCCCCTCCCTCCTGTGGAAAGAAATGTTTTCAGATATTTTTCTCCCCTAAATTTTCTCATATGCTTTCCTCCCCCAACTTGTTTAGGAGTGCGGCGCTCAGTTTCATCCGACCAGCAGCCTCCGTCACCTCTGTGGCCTTCCCAGCATTGTCCACTGCCCTTCGAGCGCGACGTGGGTTCACTTCGGCAACTTCCAATCTGCGCCCACCAACAGCGAGTGATATCACTAATTTGAAGTATTTGGTTTCGAACGTGTTGGTGGGGGATAAGGATGACCTCTCACATTACAATAACGATTGGTTGAGGACGAGAACTGGTAAGTATTCATACCTCTTCATATGTTGTTGGGGAATATTTGCAAATGGAATTATGAATACAAGAATAAGTAGATACATGTTGATGGCATGTGTGTTTCGTTTTATCTTTCCATTGCATATATATACAACATCATACATTATGTATACATATGCACGTAGTATTGTATATTATACATGTATTATTATACGTTGAAGTATTGATGCATTAGTCTGTGTTAGTCATATGTACGGTGCACATGGTGGATTTTCTTCTGCCCTTTAGGTCATTCAAATGTGGTATTGCGTCCGAAGACTACAGAAGAAGTGTCGAAAGCTGTTAAGTACTGTCATGACCATTTCATACCAATAACCGTTCAAAGTGGCAACACTGGGCTGGTTGGAGGCAGTGTGCCTGTTGATAAAGAGGTGCGTATCTTAGGTTCTACCGTGTAAGATACGATTTATGTCCGTTTTTGATGTTATCAGGTCGTATTAAGTCTTGAGAGGTTGAATAAGATCCTCTCAGTGAACACGGCAGATTCGATAGCTACTTGCGAGTCGGGAGTAATTCTACAAAACTTGATGGATGAATTGGAGAACTATCACCTCATGCCGCCCTATGATATTGGATCGAAAGCCCAGTGCCTTATAGGAGGTAATGATAATGATGATAGATAACAGTGTGTGGATAGATAACGTGTAGGTAATGTGGCGACTAATGCGGGTGGTCTACGACTACTCCGTTACGGCTCATTGAGAGGCACCATCCTTGGACTTGAAGTTGTTATGGCTGATGGGAAGGTCCTCGATTTGATGAGAGCTCTTCGGAAGGATAATACAGGTAACACTGTTGGTATCAACTTCATGCGTGTGCGTTTTGATGAACTTTCTCTTTTCCCACTAGTTGTGAACTTGGTAGTTTCTCCCTGGGTGTATTATTCTCATGCATTGAGCAAATCGATCATCAGGGCGAGCGCCAATGTGTTCTTAGTTTCCTGCTGTTTACCAATGTGAAGAAGTGTTTGTTCTCGTTCAGGCTATGATTTGAAGCAGCTGTTCATTGGATCGGAGGGGACACTTGGAGTTATCACGAAGGTTGCCATGTTATGTTATCCTATACCAAGAGTTTCACAGGTAGGAGTAGATTCTTCGCTGTTCGCAGATTGTAAGATATGTTGTTGTTTATTCAGGCCGCATTATTACGCGTGTCGTCCTTTAATGAGATCATTCGCCTTTTATCAGTGGCGAAGCCTCATTGGGGGAGTCGCTGAGTGCCTTTGAGTATTTCGATGGTCAATGCGTGAAGTGTTTACAGATGAATGGATTCAATGACTTGTTGAAGAATCTTCCACCAGGAAGGAGGAGTGAAGAACAGGATTACTATG